TTCCCGAAACGGACTTCCCAAGGGGTTCGGCATTCCCAAAAAAACTTCCCGAAACGGCCTTCCCAAAGGGTTTGGCCTTCCCAAAAGAACTTCCTGAAACTGCCTTCCCAAGGGGTTTGGCATTCCCAAAAAAAGCTTCCCAAAATGGCCTTCCCAAAACGGCCTTCCCAAAGGGTTCGGCATTCCCAAAAAAACTTCCCGAAACGGACTTCCCAAGGAGTTCGGCATTCCCAAAAAAAGCTTCCCAAAATGGCCTTCCCAAAACAGCCTTCCCAAGGGGTTCGGCATTCCCAAAAAACTTCCTGAAACGGCCTTCCCAAGGGGTTCGGCATTCCCAAAAAACTTCCTGAAACGGCCTTCCCAAAGGGTTTGGCCTTCCCAAAACGGCATCCCAAAGGTTTTGGCATCCCCAAAGGGTTTGGCATTCCCAAAATGGCCTTCCCAAAGTGTTCAGCATTCCCAAAAAAAGCTTCCTGAAACGGCTTTCCCAAAGGGTTTGGCATTCCCAAAACAGCATTCCAAAGGTTTCGGCATTCCCAATAAAACTTCCTGAAATGGCCTTCCCAAAGGGTTCGGCATTCCCTAAAACATCCTTCCCTAAGGGTTTGGCATTCCCAAAATGATTTTCCCAAAACCACCTTCACAAAGGGTTTGGCATTCCCAAAATGGCATTCCCAAAGTGTTTGGCATTCCCAAAAAAGCTTCCCAAAACAGCCTTCCCAAAGGGTTCGGCATTCCCAAGGTGGTTCAGCACTCCCAAAAGGGTTTCAGCCTTCCCAAAAAGAGTTTGGCCTTCCCTGGGATTTTTACTTTTCCCTGGGATTTTTATCTTCCCTGGGTTTTTTATCTTCCCTGGGGTTTCAGCCTTCCCGAAAGGGTTCAGCATTCCCAAAAGAGTTTGGGCTTCCCAAAAAAGTTTCAGCCTTCCCAAAAGGGTTCAGCTTTCCCTGGGGATTTTACCTTCCCAAAGGGTTTGGCATTCCCAAAAGGGTTTGGGCTTTCCAAAAGGGTTCAGCCTTCCCTGGGGTTTTTTACCTTCCCAGGGTTTTTACCTTTCCAGGACTTTTTTACCTTTCCAGGGTTTTTATCTTTCCAGAAGGGTTTGAACTTTCCTTGGGTTTTTACCTTCCCATGAGTTTTCATCTCTCCAGGAATTTTTACCTTCCCAGGGGTTTTTACTTTCCCAGGGATTTTTTATCTTTTCGGGAATTTTTACCTTCCCAGGAGTTTTCAATTCTCCA